CAGGGTCCTGGGATCGAGTCCCACATCGGGCTCCCTGCTCAGCGGGAAGCCTGCTTCTCCCTCTCCCACTCCCCCTGCTTGTGTTCCTGTTCTCGCTGTCTCCCTCTGTCATATAAATAAATAAAATCTTTAAAAAAAAAAATCCTGGCTGTAATGAACAGACGTCATGCCACAGTGGTCTCAAGTTTTTATTTGCAGGGAGAGATGTTTCCATTGGATCTGATTTTATGATTGTTGTTTTTTTCCCCCATGTGGTTAACCAGTTGTCCCTGCTGCCTTATGGTAAAGTCTATCCTTTCCTCACTGATTTGTCATGCTATTTGTCATTATGTATCCAGACCAATTTCCATGCTTTTTCATTTCTTTGGTTCGCTTGTCTATCACTGCAGCAACATCATATTATCTTACTTTAATGTAAATCCCAGTATCTGGTAGAGTGAGTCTCCCATCCTGCTCTTCAAAATTATCTCAGCTGTTGTTGACTTTTGGTTCCTCCATATATTTTAGAATCTGCTTATCAACTTCTACAAAATCCCTGTTGGGATTTTGGGTGGAAGTGTGTTACAATTATAGATTTGGTAAGAATGGACAACTTTATGATAATGAGGTTTCCCGTCCACAGCAGTTTTTTTGAGAAGCAGTAGCATGTAGACTGGCCTCTGAAGTCAGACCTGGGATAGAATCCCAGCTGTGATAAGGGACAAATCACTTCAAGTTCATGAGCCTCAGTTTCCTCAGCTATATAACAGGAATAATAATAGTACTCACTTCACTGATGGTCATGAGGGTTAAATGAGATAACACCTGTAAAGCACTTAGCATGGTGCTTAGCATATAGTAGGTGCTCAGTAAGTAGAACCTGTTACTGGTAATGATTATCCCCTCTGCTCCTCTCACCAAGATTGGTATCTGCTTCCTGGGTGCTTTGCCAAGGTTACTTCTCTCTGGCAAAATTATGGATTCATGGGAGTGATGAGACCTACAATTTCCTGCCACCTCCCAATATCGTCCCCCATACTGTCCTAGGAGCTCAGGATCCACGGCTGCGCTCCTACCTCAGGCTCAGTGAGGCATTGGAGGTGGTAGCTGTTCTTCGTTGGAGTAGGGCAGGGGAGGGCAGCAGGGGTCCAACGCCCCGGACCCCCAGTTCTGGGCCATCTTGAGAGCGAACTACCCAAGCTATTGGCCTGGCACAGATGGGAAGGATAGACAGCAAGGGAGAGACAGCTGGGCTGACAGACAAGATGGCGGGAGTAGACAAAGATAGCATCCTGGAAGAGGATGGACGAGCAAAGCCAGAAGTCCCTTGGAGTTTATCCTGTCATGCTCCTGCCTCCAAATTCATTGGTGTCCCAACCCATTCAGACAATTCAGGGCTGGGGCAGGTGATGGCTGTACTCACATTATAAGATCTTCTTGGGGACACTACCTTCTGTCTCCTCTTTTGTCATCTTCTTCCCCTCTCTTCCGGTCTGTGAGAGCCCCCGGAGAAGGATAGATGAGAAGAGTATAAGGTGGGTGCTCCCCAGGAAGACTGAGGGCTCCATCCGTAAGAAATAGCAGTAGCAGCAAAAGTCTCCAGATGCCCATGGCCCTGTGGTTGATGGGCTTGGAGAGCACTGAGCTCAAACAGGGGACAGACAGCAGCTCCAAGACAGTGAGGCACTTCTAGCACTAGTGCCACCTCTCATGTGCCTGCTGAGTACACTATCACCCCCGTCCCCAGTTGTCCAGACTCCTTCCCGGCTGGCCCCGGGCTTTACTGGGCTGGAACCCATGCAGACAAGAGGGGAATGGAGGGTGAAGTTTCCCATCAGCTGCAATGAGGGGGCCTCTAGGGACTCCCATTCCAACTGGTGAATATCCCCAAGGCCCCTGTCAGCCTTTGCTGACCAGCTGGGCAGAACTCTGGGCCTTCCAGCCTTCCCCGCAACCCAACATCAGGGAATCTGAGTCTCAACGACATGGATGATCTTACTGGTCTCCCAACGCTTGGGCTAAGAGCTGGCCACTTGATTTTAGAGCTGCAGATCAATCTCATCCTCTCCCCACTGCACAGATGGGGAAAATGAGGCCCGATGACTTACCCAAGGATGAGAAGCCAGTCCTCCAAGGCAGCTCTTCCTAATGCCTATGACTGCCGCAGCTTTCTCAGACTCTTGCATTCCTAGCTCAGGAACTTGCTGTGGCTCTCAATAGTCTTTAGTGTGAAGGTCCCAAGGAGACCTCAACAGGTCCCAAGTACCCCACCAGATCTCATTCACCTGACCCACAAACTCCTCCTGCGATCTTCCAGCAAGCTCCAGTGTTCCTCTCCTCTGGAAAGCCTGCCAGGAGCCACGCGTTGGCAGTCATTCTCCATTGCCCCAGCATAGAACTGCCTGTACCCGCATTTCTGGTCAGTGGTGACCTCATCAGACTAGGGCCCCCCAGAATGAGGACCAGTCTTCTCTATCTTCAGGCTGTCTCCTTCATCAGACTGGGGCTCCCAACCATGAGAACTAGATTCCCACCCCCTCCCCCACCAAAAAACATTTAGAACACTAAGGGGAGATTACATCCCTACCATTAAGTCAGAAATTTTCAGGGTACATTCTCTCTCCCTTTAGACTGGAAAGCTCTAGAGGGCAGTCAGTAACTCTCCCATCAGACAAAGAGGCTTTTGAGGGGAAAGATCTGTCTTGCCCATCAGACCTGGGGCAAGATTGCCCCAAGTTTGGAGATCCACCAGTCAGACATATTGATCCCAACACAAAACTTTATTGTCAATACATAGATGTCTGGCCCCACTGGCCTCACCTTTCTCCTCCTGGTGCACTTGGGCCCCAGCTAGCTCTGGCCTAAAGCAGGGGGCCGGGAAAGTCCATCCTTAGGACAAATCCTGGCTGCCTTGGCCAGCACCCCCCTTCTGTGCTCATTCTTTGCTGTGGGGCTCCCTCTCTCATCCAGCATCCTTGTCCATCTGAATTCCTCTGGACCTGAGGCTCACAGACACAAGCCCTGGAGATGCCACCCCCTTCACAGCCCCAGGCATCTGCCTAGGTGTAAGGGAGAAGATGGGCTCAGGCCAGACTGTGCCAAGTCACGTAGAGATGTAGGAAGATGCAGGTGGGTGTGTGTGCTCAGGCCCCTTGGCTCCCATCCTGCCTCTCAGCGGCTGGTCTTGTGTTTAAGGAGTATGTTTGTGTTGGATTCCTGAACCTGCAAACCAAGGGGTTTGTCAATCCCCCACCTTCACATGGCAAACGCCCCCTCACTCCCCTCCGCCACCTTCAGCAGCGAAACCACCAGGCTTGTCTGACTCTAGTTGCCTAGTGTCCTCTCCAAGCTTGGAAGCCCAGGCTGTGGACATTCACGAGGCTTCAGGTCGTTCTAACCCAGTCAGGTGGTGTGGGAAGCAGAGAAAGAAACTAAGTAATGAGGGTGTGTGCCTGTTTCTCCCTAGAAGCTTCCTCCCTGGGGAGGAGGCTATTCTGATGCACTGTAGCAGGAACCCAGGGATCCTCTGCCCACAGTGTGCCTAGGTATCCGCCACCAGGCAGAAACTGAGCTGGCTCAAGCCACCCTAAGAAGGGGTAGGTTTGAGGGTGTCAGAGACTTAAGTGACTCAGTGGGAGGAGCCTGATGGGGGAGGGGGGCAGAGCCTCTCGGGGAGGAAAGGGTGGAACTTAACGGATCAGAGGTGGCTGCTGCCTGCGCGGTGCCTGAGAGTCCAGGAAGGGGATCAGATCTTGGAATAGACAGAAAGTTTGACTAATGTGGCAGAGGCTGGGCTGGGCGGGGCGGGGCGGGCGAGCACTTATTGGGTAGGAGAGGGAAGCTGCCTGTACCTTTTCCCTGTTGATGAGCGCTGTGATCAAGTCTTGCTGGCAAGTCATGTCGCGGATGTCCAGGGAGGACCCGCTCACCACCGACAGGCTCAGTGACAAGTGCTTGTGGATCAGCTCCTCCTCCTGCTCCTGGTTGAAGCGGATGGAGCGGACCTCCTCCACTATCCTGGGGGCGGAGGGGTGAGTACTTTCTGAGGGCTGAGGGAGCTTGTGGGGGGAGGCGGAAGACGGGGCGCTGCCCTCCCATCTCTTCCCGGGCATCCACCCCGCTTCGCCCTCCCCCTTCACTCCTATGGAGATCCAGGCCAAGCTGCGCGCTCTTGTGAGATGGAAGGAACCAGGTCTGGATTCTAGCTCCTCTACCCACAGACCCCCCTCCCTGGCAAGTCATTTAAACCTCTCTGGGCCCCAGGGTCCGCATTTTAAAATGGTGAGGGCCTGAAGCCAGAAGAATCTGAGGCTCCACTCAGCCCAGACTCACGGGACTCTGGGTGCCCCCAGTACCCGCCCTACGTGTTGAGCTCATCTCGGATCTCCTTGTACTGCATCAAGTTCTCCTGTATTGCCTCCAGCACCAAACAAAAGTTGTCACAGGTGTTTTCTGAGAGGTTAGACAGGTGGCCTCCCGACAGTGGCTCCTGCGGGGCACCGGACATCTCCAACCGGGCGACCACACAGTGCACCAGGGGCAGCTCGTTACCTCCATCCAGGTCCTGCTTGCCTCTCTGCGAAGAGAGGAGACAGACAGCTCAGCCGGCACCCCTCCCCCAGCCCCTTCCTGCTTGGCTCGGGGGAGGATGAGTCTCTTAGGACACCAGGGTTCTAATGCCACCCATTCCAGCTCTAACCAATCTTAGCACCCCTACCCTGCTGTGGGAGCTCAACTTCAAATGCATAAGCCCCTCCTCTACCTCTTGGAAAATTCTCACCCCTTTTCAAAACTTAGCACCCAATTTCACTCCCGATAAATCCTACCTAGCAAACTTTTTTTTTTTTCCCTACCTAGTAAACTTCTAAAGCCCTACCTACTCTCAAGTCATAGCCCACAACCCTCAACATTTTGGGAAGTACTCCCCCCTCCACCCCCACCAGCTTTCTAGAAGTCCTACCCTTGAATGAATAGCACTGTAGCTAACATTTAATGAATTCTACATGTGTGCCAACTACTGTTCATTTATCCATATAATTCTCATAATAGTCCTATGAAGGAAGTACTATTATTATTCCCATTTTACAGAAGAAGACATCGAGGCTTAGATTGGTCACCTGCCCTAAGGTCACCCAGCCACTCAGTTTTGAGTTGCCATAGAAACCAGACATCTAGGAAATCCACACCCCTCAGATGGCACTCAAGGTGGGGGATTCTGCCCCCAGGTCTCAGGCTTGACTTTCTTCAGGCCCTTGAGCGTGCAAGCGTGTACGCACGCACGTGCCTACACACACATGCATGTGCTCAAGTCAGCACTCATGCGTTCACCCTCTCCTCCCTTCTGCCCTCCCCAGCCCACTCACCTCACTGAAGTTTATCTGATGCAGTTGCCCCTGCTCTCCTGCCTTCATCATCTGCTCCAGATTGGTGGTCACCACAACAACCAACAGGTTGATGCCAATGAAGGCACCAATGGTGATGAAGATGGCAAAGTAGATGGCGCCCCCAATCTCCATTGCGTACTCTCTTGTCTCCATCCTGGAGATGGCAGGCAGGAGCCCCATCACCTCCCTGGCCCTTTGAGTCTCAATTTCCCCATCTGTGAAATGGGGACATTATCTCAAGACCTACTAGGACTTCTGCTACCTCACTGCTGGTGAGCGGATCTAATGCCTGCTCTGACTATCAAAGTAGCTGCTCTTGGCTGAGCACCTGCTGTCCGGTCAGAGACAGAATGTGGGCCTCAAGCCACCCTCCTACGGTGGGGATTTGTACATTGGCATTATCAAGTTTAATCTATTGGCTATACTCTTGATTCATGTTTTTCTTATTATCAAAAGTAATTCAAGCTCATTATAGAAGGATCAGAAGGAAGAAGGAAGACATACAGGAAAAAAGCCCAGCCATTCTTAATACCTTATTATGAATCTCCCATAAAATATTTTCCTAAGTAATAAGGTCTTTCTCCCTTTCTCTCTCCTTCCATACACACACACACAAACACACACACACACACATGTATATGTACATATATATATATATATGCACTCTGGGCCAGGCTCTATGCTAAGAGATTTATACAGCTTTTCTCTATTGATCCTCACAGCAATTCAGACACAGTTAATTATTATAATTCCCAATTGGCAGGTGAAGAAGCTGAGGCTCGGAAGAGAGATGAAGTAACTTGTCCAAGGTTGCACAGCTAGTGTGGTGGAGCAAATACTCAAAAGCCCAGCGTCCAGTCTATCTTTATTGCACACCCTGTGATTTTTCCACCACCTACATCATACTGGGAAATGCCCGCAGAAGCTCTTTGCCAACTGTGCTTCTGCACTCACAAGAGATAAAAAGAAATCAGTCAGGGGGACCCACTCCCTGGAGTGGACTGGAAACAAATAGGGTTTAGACGTAATGGAAAAGAAGTAAAGAACAGAACCTGCTGGCCATCTGTGGCCAAAAATGACCTTGGGCAACGGGTCTATGAATGAATGAAATGAGACTCTAAGTTCCCAGGAGTCCAGGCAGCTTGGTGGGCTCAAATGTGGGCTGGGAGGCTGTCCCGAAACCACAGATCTGCTCTCTTGCTCGAGGCCTCCTTGCTACCCAGCTGTTTAGCGTGACAGGGGACATCTTTATGAACAGGTCTGCGGTAGGACTTTGAATGGGTGGGATTTCAAGGGGGACAAGGCTTCAAGCAGACCAAGACCAGTCCTAGGGGTCTCCTTTTCCCTGATTTGAAGCCCCAGGCAGCCCCCTCCTGGTGGGCCATCCTCCTCCCAAGCCCTGGAGCTCCACTCCCACTGCCTTGCCCCGCTGGGGGGGGGTGGGGTGGGGACAGACACCCCTCAGGCACTCACTGAAAGTCATTATAGATGTCCACCCAGCCATCTTGGGTGATGCAGATGAAGAGAGTATACAGGGCAACCTGCATGTTCTGGAAATGCATGGGCACAAATGCACCAAAGAGAGTGACCCCAAACACGGAAAACACCTGCCAGAGAGACCAAAGAAGATGCCCGAACTTTACCCAAGGACCTGGAGACAGGACATGCAGATGCCATGCAAATGAATGCTGCCAAGGGAATCCCAGGGACTCAGGCCCAGAGGTCTCTCCTCCTCTCCAGACAGCCCCCCCCATCCCCAATGACCTGGGGGCCCTGGTCAGGGAAAGGGAGCAGCTGGGAGTAGGGGAGGGCACTGACCAGCATGAAGAAAAGGATGAGGGTCATGATATTGGCCATGTCGGGCACCGACTGCAGGATGACACGGATGATCCGGGCCAGAGGCTCCACCGCCATGCAGACATGCACCAGACGAAGCGCCCTGCGGCACAGCCTCTCAGGGGCGCCCCTCAGCCCCTCCCAGACCCCTCCTCCCCACTGCCCCCTGACCTGCCCAGAGGGTAAGAGATGATCCCCACCCCCTCTCTTTCCCCAGTCCGGACATGTTCCCTTCTTTTCTCTAGAGTTCCCAGCTCACCTGAGGGTATAGGTGAGAGCGTTGACATTGAGTTCATTAATGAAGAACCCCAGGAGCAAGATAAAGATGATAAGGAAGTTGAGGATGTTCCAGCCGTCCTGGGGGTGGTGGGGGATGGGGGAGTGGGCCAGCCCCAATGGGGTGTATCAGGCCCAGCCCGTGGGGACATCCTGGGTCTGCCCTCTCACCAGCCCAAGGATGGGGGGCTCAATGTTCCTCTCAGGGCAGCGCCAGTCATCTGCCATCCACTGCTGTTACTTCTCCTGCTGCCCCTCAAATATGCCACAAAACACCCAGGCTTACTCGCTGTCTCATATGCGTGTCAACAGCCAAGTGCAGTCTGAGACACACAGTGGAGACTCTCACATACACACAGCTGATTCCTAAGCTGAGCACCCACCTTGGCTAGTGCATAAGATTCTCAGGCTTGCTTCAATTCTCTTGTGCTAATGAAACCCTGGGGCAGGCCCCCTGGGGCACCTGGCTGGCTCAGTAGACCATGGGACTCTTGATCTCAGGGTCATGAGTTCAAGCCCCACACTGGGCGTAGAGCTTACTTAAAAAAATAAGAATAAAAAAAATAAAAAATCATTGTTAAGAAAATGCTAACTGCCGTTGAAAAGAAATTGCAAGAAGGTATGAAGGAGGAAATGTTTTTTCTTATGGAACAGATTTCTGCCTGCTTCCTAGGGCTAGTTCTGATAAAGTGGTGCATTGAAACGTTCACAAAAAGCATGGTACCTACTCTCCTCTTGAGTGTGGAAACATGTAAATATGTACCAGCCCATTCTATTTTCTCTTAATAAACATCCTTGCAAATGTTGTTTGCACAAAGCAGTCTTTAAGACATCCAGACTTCAGGGGCGCCTGGGTGGCTCAGTTGGTTGGGCGACTGCCTTCGGCTCAGGTCATGATCCTGGAGTCCCGGGATCGAGTCCCGCATCGGGCTCC